TGATCGATTAATTAGGCCGACGATATAACAGATCTAACGGGTCTTCCGACAGACCGCCCTCCGGAATAACATATCGTACGCGCGATCCGCCGGGGCGAGCGCGAATGATAAAAGCGGAGCAACGCCTGGGCGTCGCTGCCGGGAAAAGGGCGATCGACAAGACCGATTCGAAAGTGCTTTGCGAGCCGCGGCGTGCTGGCCCGGCTAATTAAGTGCGCCGTAAGTTAATTGAGATGCTGCGCGTAGGAGTAAAGCCGAAGATACGAGGGCAACGTTAAACTGTGTAAACATCGAGCTAATTACTTCGAGACTTTATCGCGCAACTCCGCTCCGCCGGAGCTCGGCGAGCGGGCAAGTGTGCGCGTGCGAAAAGCGGGAAAAGTGACGGAGGGTGGGCGCCCTCGGGTGCGAGGAGGAGAAGAGAGGCTGGGGAGGATGTCTCGCGCCCTCGGCGGGAGGGTAGGGGGAAGGGCCGACGTTTATCGACGGAAACCAAACGGGATTAGACGGAGATGAAGCTGACGTGCACTGTTTACAACGTTGTCGGCGATGGATTCTAAAGTGGCGAGCGGTAAAACGGCATCTTGAAGAAAAACGGGATGAAATTAAATGAGTTGTTTATTACGTTTTCTTCCCGATGGCTCGGCAAAATAGTGTTTACTTTTATTGTACAAATTTACTCCGTCAGATATTTTTTCTCGCTCGCATTTCGACTTTCGGTCCTATCAACAATCAGGCTGGCTGATCCCCGCGACTGACAATCCCTAAATTCCCATTTAATCTGGTCGCGTCGGCGATACCTCGCTCGCTCCTCTTTTTATCGTTAACTGGAAATGCGCGTTGATTACGCGCGTTTTTACGCGCGCGTATTTTTCGGCATATTTTGTGTGACGTACGTTTTTCCGGCACGTCGACGATTGTTCGCTGCGAAGCCACCACTCCTCCCGCAGCGGAGAGTTAAATAATGCAAACAAGCGTGGGCGCGCGGGGGGGGGAGGAGGAGGAGGAGGGAGGAAGAAGAAGAAGAAGACGGAGTTTCGGAGTGCCATCGGCGTAGCGGCGGTAACTGCTACTCCGCGGAAGGTGAGGAGACCCAGTTAATTACTAAAGCGTTTTAATCGCCGGCAAAGTTCCGTCTGGGCCGGAAAGGGCTTCGAGGATGCGGCGGCTGTGTAAATTAGGAACTCGCCGCTTTCCTCTTCGCTCGTCCTTCCCGCGCCCGCATTATGTACGCCTGTGGGTCTCCCGAGACGGGCGTCAGCCTAATTTCCGGCAAAAGGTGACTTTTACGTAATAGCGCGTCGCCTTGAAATTAACTTTTCAGAATTACGTGCACTCCGGAAAATTATTCGCGCTTTACTAATTGCTAAGACTTTAGAATCAAGTATTCTGACTGTGCGATACGTTTTTAATATGAAGAAGGAACTCGCGGTTAATCACATGTCGAGGACGAAACAAAAATTACGATTCTACTGTTATTTCTATCGTTATTCGCACGAAAGTCAAGTTGAATTTCGTGAGATCTCAACGTTTGTGTAGGTAGATATGTATAAATAAAAGAGGTATAAGTTTATATACAAGGGAAATTTTATACATTGGCACTCGTAAAGGTAAATGATGTCCCAATCGATTTACAACGAGTGAATAGCATTTGCAACATCCACGAAGGTTACAGGCACATCTCTCGTTGCGTCTTGCTCCGGTTCAATTGTCGTTATTTCTGTTCGGGAAGGCTTTCATTTAACTCGATTATTAAATGCCCCTCTTTCTCACTTTTCCTCCAACCCCTCCTCCCCTCTCTGCGGTTCCTGGCGCATATTTAGGGGTCGCTGGTTACAGGTTGCCCCGGCAACCACATCGAGAAACCCTCTGTCGTTGCCAAGGCAACCTTCTCCTTCGTCTTCTCACCCTCTCCTCTCTCACCCGGAGAGATTCAATTCGAGAGAGCGAGAACGAGCCCGAAGGAAGGAAGAAAGGGTGCTGGTTTCTGTGGAGCAAGAAGGGGGAAGGAGTTCGGAGCAGGGAGGAGGGAAAAAAAGATGGTGCGCTTTCTGGTGATTATATTTGATGGCGCGAGCGAGGACGTGCCAAATGAGGATTTGACCTTGATTAAAGACGAACGAACTCTCCCTCTCTCTCTCTCTCTCCTTTCCCCTCTCCCTTTCTCTCTCTCCCTTTCTCTCTCTCTCTCTCTCACAGCGACGATAAAATAATACGGGGGTGTCGTGATGGCGATTCGCGTTGCGAAGCAGAAAAAGAATTTGCCAAAAGATCCAATTTGTGTGGCAGCGATAATCGCCAGAATCGCGAAAATAAAATTATACTGTACGTACGCCGAGGTAAATACGAAGTTAAAATATTTGTGGGCAAAACATCACTTTTTAAAATATACTCATTCAAATAAAACTACGCGAATACAAAATGTTACAAAGAGTTGAGAAAATTTGTCAGCCTTTCTAAGATATTCTAGCTGTTGAGAACGTAAGTTCAAGACGGAGCGTGGTGGCTCGCGTTCATCAATTCCAGCTCACGCCGCGGGACTTAATGGCGCGGATTCTCGCGCGGCTTTGGTATTCGTGGTTGAACTGGGCGAAGAACTTATTCATAAGATTATTCGCCATTTTCGTCATGGCGCCTCCGCCCTCCTGAATGTGTCGTTATTTAAGTTTTATATTAAAGCACGGTCGCGTGCGCGCGCGCACACGCGCGCACACGCGGATCCTCCGGGTGGATTTGATGTATGACCCGCGCGTGTTCTGCTTCCTTCACCGAGATGCACCTAAACGTGAGATATCGTGCTCGATCAATTTTTCACGGCTCCACTTCACCCCTTTCACGCCCTTCCCCTCCTTTTTCCTCACCAACATGATCAACCTTCGCGGTTTCTCATTGTCAATCGATGGGTAATTTAATTATTCGCGCACTGATAAGTCAATTCGGAAAACGCTAATTGCATTCTTAGACCAAAATTTGTGCATTTCGAGAGTAACGCGAATATTACGTAAATTCTTTCAATCATTACGTTGATGCTACTTTACATTTTCTAGTTACGGTTCATTTTCTATTTATAATTCCGGGGAATGTCGACAATGCGAAAGAATCTAGCGAAATTATTTCGGATCCTCGTTATGCAGACGATTCCTCGGGGAAGAAGAATCGAGATTTATTACTGCGAAAAGAAAGGCGCGAAGTCTCATCTCGGGCGATTTAGTTTTCTCTCGCTGGAGTAAAAATTAAATAAAACTGCCGGACAGTTTCATAACGCGAATGTAGATTCTTTGACGAATACATTTTGAACAATGTCTGCAAAATACGTGGCTACAAAAGACTTGCCGTAAATTATTTGATCGATTAGTAATAAGTTGCTGAAATTAGAAGAACGCTGAAATTTCATTTGGACGTAAAACAATGAGCGTTGAAGTATTGTCCTTTATTAGTGTTACTCTGGCAACAATATCCAGAGATGATAGATGAGCGCTCGCTCTCTCCTGGTTCTCGTCGACGAACGAAGGGTGGGAGGGGGAGGGGCGGGGGGGAGGGGGCGAATCGCGTGCTAAATAACTTCGCTAACAAGCTGCCGCCGTCACTGTGCAAAAAAAGATTACGTAAGCGGTAATGGCCGCCGGCTCCTCCTAAATTCGAGAACGAAGTGTTCCGGTCGAGCGCGCAATCCGAGAAAGGGGGCAGAACGGGCGAGCAAGCGCGCGCGCGGCCCGGCCGGGGTGGGGGTTAATTTTAATTTCCCAATTTTTCCCACACCGACCCGGCGCAGGTAATTTCCTCCCCAGCAGAGAATAGATGTAATTACTTAACGCCTCCGAGCTCCTTTTATTAAAAGAGGATCGCGCCCTCGGGGGTTGGAGGGGCGGAAGGAGCTCGCGGAGTGGGGGCTGCCGCGGGAGTGGTGGTGCGTGATCACGGGGGTGTCTCTTCCTCGCAAGCTCGTCCGTCCACTCGAGACCCGAGGAGGGTTTCCTATTTCATTAATTTTATCAATAAGATATTCCATATGGAATATCATCCGTAATATCAGAGACCGAGCGTCTCGAGATCCTTTTTAATTCGGGAATTTCTTGAAAGAGCGGGTGTAATTTAATAGTAATTAAGAAACTGCGCGGAGAGAGAGAGATGTCTCTTGGCATAGATTAAATTACACCTTCAAGTTTCTGCCGCGCAATATTTTTCACGTTAAATCATCCGTCGTGCGTCTTATACTAATACACCGAGGGCGATCTTTAAATTACGAGCATAAAACTTAAATTATATCGTGTCTGCGAGAGCCGAAGAGTTAAATTTCCCCCCTCGGAAACTTTCATTTGAAAGAAGAAAATGGACAAAGGCGGAACAAGCAGCGTTGAGCAATAAACAACCGCACAATTCACTGATATATATTTGGCCTGTCCATTACGACGAATCCAACTCGGTTCGAATCCGAGTGCCTCGGCCGATGAGATCGGCAAGGGTATCTCGCAGCGGCTGTGGGAAGGGAGGAGCCATCTTGCGGCCTGTTTCAGGGCAGCCACCAATTGATTCGCCCCCACCAGGCACCGCAAGCAGGCGTCGATTCAATTCCAGGACGAAAAAAGCGTCCGGTGGGCGGCGCCGTCCATATAATTCTCGCGCCCGCATTGGCCCGCCGCTCCGTGTAACCCACGAGCCCGCCGCGGGCTCGGCCAATCGGGCGCCTCTGGGCGGGTCCTAAAACCAGTTTCAGTTTCGCGGGCAGAGGGGAGTCGTTGACTCGAGTCTCTGGGCAGATAGTATTGTGCCGTTGGCTCATGCCGTAGTGGTCTTAACACCAGCAGGTCCTTGCTACCAAGGAAATCACGGAGACCCGCCTGTCACGCGCACCTATTCGAGAGCCGCGAGGACCCGGAAGTTCCCCCCGGTGGCGTGTCGTGGCCGAGAAAGTGTCGCGAGTCCATGTAATTCGGTGATTCGATCCCAGCGTGCACAGAATTTTGGAGTACACCGAGAAGAATCGCTCCCGTGAAACGTGAGGAACCGCCAGTGACGTCACAGATCAAAGACTCTACCGATGGACTTTCGGAAAGACGTTGTTCTCGTGGAAGCTCGTCGGTCCGCGGTCGTAGCAAGTGAAGGACTGTTTATAAGTACACATGGTGAAACTGACAGCTGGCATTGTCAACCGTCGACATATGATCGCTATGTTATAGCCTAATTTGTGATACTGGTTGCATTTAGTTGGAAAAATCGTTTAAAAGCTGCGAGAAGGTCGTTGAGTTAGCCGACGGCTGGTGGAGTTGTACCATTCGCCTATTCAACAGGCAACTTTGCACGTGAAAAATTTACAAAATATGTGAAACTTTGTTGGTTACACTGTTTGGACTACAGAAGTGATCTTGAAAGCGTCCAGAGTATGCAAAGTATCGACATTAGGAAGCAATAAAAGTCTCGAGCCACTGGACCTCAGTAATGGATCTCAGTAACCCGAAGAACTTAGAATGGAAGATACAAAAACCTATTTGAGACGGCGAGATCATAGTTTTCGCAAGCATCTTAATGATCGTCACAAACGAGTGACTCGTAGGCAATGATAAATCCACGGGCCGTGTCAGCGATCATGCTTCGAAGGGCCTGAAATGGAAGACGTGAACACGCGTTGACTGGGAAACATCTAACGGCGTCAGATACCTCTCGCATCCTCGACAGACACATGATTCCAGTGTACCAGTGATCAAGTGACCCTTCCTCTCCTGGCGATCGGGCTTCGCTGACCCCGGGGATTGATGCGAGCGGACTGATCGCTCTCCAAGGGGGAGACGAACGCCGGCGAGTTGGTACCGAAGATGGTCCTGGAGCCTGGAGGCGGCCTGTCCTTTCCGTTGGCCCCCGGCAGCGGCTCCAGCGCCTCCGGCGGATCCTTGCTGGCCCCGACCAGGTTGTTCCAAAGGACGACGCCTGTGTTTCCATTCCACTTGGCAGGATGGCCGCCGCATCATCCGGTTCTCGGCCAGGTGCAGAGCCAGGTCCAGCAGAGCATGCAGGCTCAGCATCAGGCCGCTGCCGCGGCGGTCAGATTCCTCAGCCATCACCATCCGCATCATCCGCATCCGACGTTGAGCAATCACTCCCTGGTACCGGCGATCACTGGGCATCATCCTAGTGTACATCATCTGCATCATGCCGCTGATCATGGAGAGGAAGAGGACGAAAAGAAAGGTGAGTAGAGATCTGACGGTTGCACCGAGTTAAAAGGCTCGAGTCTGATATTGAATTTAACATGATCCAGCTTCTTCCTGCAAGAGTACACTCGAATTGCAATTGCTTTACAAAATTCGTCTTTTCTACAGACAACACGAACGTCTAAAAGATGTTCCAACTGTCGGCAAAGATCCTTTAAGGGTCTTTTAACCGAGGGCTCATTCCATTTTTAAAAAGGACGAATATAATATTCTCTGTAAGATACTTTGCTCTCGGAAAGTTTGCGTTAATAGATCCATAGTTGCGATATTAATAAATTACGCTTCTTGGAATTAGTAGTCTAGTTTGGGGTATTTCTCCACGATCGCTCGTTGAAGCACGTTGATGGCGGTGGCGTTTCCGAAATAGCTTTTGAAAAACGGTCTTCGGGGAGTGGCGTAACGCGGTCAATCATAAGATCGTTCCTGACGAGCCCCTGGGATCGCTTACGACGTTAGTCCCTATCCCCTTTTCCCGCCCTTCCTGGCGACCGCCCGTCTGAAATCGTGTTTCGTGCGCGAGAACGTCCGCGTTGCCGAGGGTGGAAATCTGTTTTTTACGTGATCCCATTCACGTCCCTAACACTTGTTTATGCTTCGAAGGGAGCGCCACTTAATTCGCCCACCTTTGGCTTTCGATTGTTTCCGCCGCTGCGAATTTATCGCGCGCTACCGCGAATTTGCGTGAACGCTGTCGGTCCCTCGATGAACAAAAGTTCAAATTGGTATAACATAAGGTGGCACGTAATTAAAATAGCACTCGTGCCTAAGGCTGGTATTGCATTTGTCGTACGATAAATGTTTTACATCTGTTGACTGGCTGCAGGATAGTAAAATTCTAGAGTGTCCAGAAATTTTCTAACTTGTAGCCAATCAGCATTCTTGAAAAATTTGTCGCACCGCAAACGTATTAGCCTAACGTGCTCCCTTGTACAAAGTTACCCAATATCTGTTAATGTCACGTGTAAAATGTACAGTGAAAAAAAAAAAGGTTATTAGCTTAGTACAGAAATATGAATATATGTCAGTTGCACGTTATTAAAATAAAAAGCTGTTAAGGAGTTAAATGAAATACAATTCTGCGGAATACTTGGTTCGAAAGAACGATTAATGGCGAGAGATTCTAAGGTGAGCTCTCAGCTAGCGTGGGTGTTTTTACAAAAATTTCATTTCATTATCAAGATATTATTCGATTACACTTTTTCAAGAGTTGCGATAAATGATTCAGCGTGAATTCCTTTTAAGTGTCGAACAAGCCTTAAATTTGTAGAAAGATTTATGGCTACGGAAACACTTAAACCCCGCGATATTTTTATGTCCTCGTGCAATTTTCCGGCGAATATAAGTTACGTCTCCATTCGTTTGGACGAGAAAAATCCTGCTTATTATCAGACCGTCCGTTCTTCTTCGGTAATTTCATAGTTCTTCTCCAACGGCATGCAGCGTCGGATAACACACTCGGCGGTTTCGCCGGTTCCGCAAAAGTATGCGGCGGTTAGATTCGTTATAATTGCATAATGATTTCTACGTCGAGGAGAGGCATTTCGTTCATGAACGTCAGCCGTGCACGCGAGCGTGTATCAGATCGACCCGCCGGTTATTTCGGGATTTATGAAAGCTCCCATCCTCTCGGCCATGATAAATAGTTTTATTGGCAGCGGCTGGAACGCGTGTAATTGCGAGTCTGCTCTGATCGAACGTCGTCCATCGAACGTCCTTTATGGCGTCACGTTGTGGCATGAGCCAAGTTTATTTGCGCGTTTAATGTCCCCACCTTTACGTCGAACTGAATTAGATTCGCCTAGCGATCCCGCGATCGCACGTACGTTTTCTCTGTCGTGGAAATGATCGTTCACGCTGAAAGAATACGGGGGGATCGCGCCACCCCATTCGCTTGCAAATGAGATATCAAAATAATTCAGAAATTTAATTTAATTAATTTCTTATCAAGATATATTACGCCGTATAAAAATTGCGATAAACGACTGTGCAACGTGAAACGTTTCTACAGCATATATCGAACAGGTTTCGTATTTATAGAAAGATTTATGGCTAGAAATATTTAATATTGGGATATTCTCGTACGACTTTGTGACGAATATAATTTATGCCTTCTCTCGTTTGGATGAAGACAATCTTATTTATCGTGTTGACTGGTCGTTCAACAAAATCTTCAGGCATGAAATATGTTGGGCCGTTCACTGGAAGTTATAAACAATTGAGGAAGGATACCTCAGGATAAATATACTTTTTAAGGAATCATCTGTCTTTTAAGGAATCAAGTCTAAGGCCTGGTCTACAATGAGCTGTTAATCAATAGTCAGAAGTCGGAACTGTGTGAATCCTTTTTCTTTCTGGGTGCAAGAAAGTGGACCGACACATAGTTCTGATTTCTGACTAACAACTCATTGTAGACCGGGCCTAAGAAGTTCCGGTTAGTGTGCGTGCAAAAATGAATTTCTGAAACGCCACTTTTGAGAAGTCCAGGTCCTTCTTCTTTCCGGCCTTGGAATAAATTCGCGTTTTCGAAGCGGGAAATTGGGTCGAGCGTTCAAATCGCCGAGCGGAATCGCATCGTTCGCCTTGCTCCACTTCGCGTCCCTCGCGATCGGGCGCTTGGGCATTTAACTACGTCGATTCCTAATGAAATGTGCGCGATTTTATCCCGACCGATGTCGTCGAGAGATAGGCCGCTCGCGCAAAGGATCGTGAATCTCCCTCGCTTCCTCTCCGTCCCCCTAGTAGCTTCGCGAAATTCTCGTTTGCATAATTAGCCCGGCGGAGGACTCGCGTGCGTACGTGTCTATACGCACGGGCGTTAGACTTTTTCGACGTTAGCGCGATCGTTAGGCCTGGAGCGCCTTAGCGTCACCGCGGAATTGCGTCCCGTCGGCGCGCTCGCAGCGGCTCACAAAGCCGCCACATGCCGCGCGATCCCGTCGTCGTGAATTAAGATTCAGACGTGGAGAGCTAGATCGGCCGGATTAAAACGTGTCGCTTTACGCGTTAGCCTCGCAAAAGCTATATCGCCACCGACGGCCGGGCTGGTGTTCAGGGCCTGTGTCCACGATGCTGGAACTTGGTCCAAGTTGTAGTCCCGAGAAATGTGTAGCCAATCGACTTGCGGCTTTTATGGAATAGCCGAGATTGCCTACACATTTCTCGAAACTGCAAGAACTTGGACCAAGTTCCAGCGTCGTGGACACGGGCCCTCGGCGGCGTGCGAAGCGAGGAGTCCTCTCGTTGTTTCGCAGATTCCGCGTGACGCTCGACGTCGGGTGGTTTCGATTTTCCCCATCGCCCTAGCAAATTGGTTCCTCTCTTTGCAAAAACACCGAAGCGGGAGTTCCGTCTCGCGTAGAGAGCGATGGTGCAAGCCGACAATCGCGCAGCTGGAGGGGAGAACGAGCGGCAACGGGCACCAATTAAACATTATTCTCAATTAATCACCCGACGCGATCCGGAATTAAAGTATATCCCGTAAATTGCGCGCAACTGTCTAGGTATCGCTTTATCTGCCTCTATTTCCATTTGTTTTCCTTTGATTTTTGCTAATCAATTGATTTATGTAATTTTCCGATAAAGCTTATCACGCCTTACGCATAAACGCCGCTCATTTCTCATCCCGCGTTTATCTGCACGTTCGCGGATTTCCAGCCTATACGGAACTCGCCGATTAATCTAGGCTCACGCCCGCTCGTTCTTATTTTCATTGTATCTCAACCTGTTCGAGTCTCCAAGTTAACGCGATCCGAATCAACGACAGGCGGAGAGCGCGCACGAGCGTTGAACCTTGTGGCTTTTCAATGCCTGCTTAATGATCTTTCAGAGAGCCGTATTTGCGCGGAGAACAATGACTTTCACACGTGATATTTGAGAGATATGAATTTGCGGAGATATTTTTATTCTATCCCTGGCTGCTCGCTTATCGAGCTGTGTATCTGCATCTACGGCAATCGCACGTAGATCACTCCGCGAGACGTGGCTCATAGTAGACAGACGCACCTTACGAGCGGCGCTGAACGAAGGCAAAAACGGGGTTATACATAAACATTCGTCATATTGGTAATTTCGCGATTGTGATCTCTCTCGGGGCGTCAAGTATTTATGAATCATAACTTACGCTACATCAGTGATATTAGGTCTGGAATTATTGCATTTTAATTGCCGCTTTAAGCGTCGCGTACGTCGTGCGCGCCGGCACATCGTATAACAGGTGTTCGAATTGCGTTTCCCGCCTGCAAAATGGCGCTTCGTTGAAACAAAGCTTTTTGCAGACCGGTATCTTATGAATGGGAGGCGAAATTAAATCAACGGGAGTGCCTCGGTATGGTGGTTAGGCGTCGTCATTCTCAAATTAATCGTTTTCACTCAATAACGCGTGTAATGTGTGACTATCGGCGCGCATCACGCGCCCAACGATGCCCATTAGGTCATTTCGTGCCCTTAAATTGAACGATCAAACTGATTCTTGTCGAGGCTATTCCTACCGGAAAAAGAATTGCCCGAAGAGACGGCAGACCCGCTGCGCTTTCTCGCCCACTCGAGAATTGTAAGCTACCCTCGTGATTATAGCCGACGAAATAATAACAGTGTCCATCGTCGAAAGAAACGCAATACACTCTCGCAGGGCAGGGATGCAGGTGAGACCGAACGAGCCGGGCTTCTTTAGTAAGCGGTCGCGTTATCGTAGCATCCTGTCATTATTTTACGATTAGACCGAAGGGGGGAGGCATTAGGGCAGTTGACAAAAAAGGCGACCGTCCTTCATAGAAAGAGGGCGAGAGGAGCGGGAAAAAAGAAGGGGCGGAAAAGACGGAAAGAAAGTTTGCGAGGCTCGCAAAACTGATTCGCGTACACGAGAGAATCCGGAGGGAAGATTCAAGGCGTAGAGCAGAACATTGGAAGTGGAAACCGTATATCCGCCGTTCCCCCCGAGCGTTGAAAGCAACGCTACGTGTTATTCTTTGCATATGGCAG